AATCGGTCGACAAGTCGATCGGCCGATGCTCCGAGAGCTTGGAATGAGGGAAAATGTGAGCGCGAAAAAAGCTTGACTGTTAGCTCTGTTGCTTTGCCTTTATAGTGAGGCTGCAGCGCACCTCTGGTCAATACCTGACCAATTCCTCTCCTCTCAGTTCTCTCTCACTATTACAATACCTATTTCCATGGACAAACTCAATACAAACTTTCTTTCTGCTCAGTGTTGGGTAAGGCAACACTGTAGCTACTAGTAATATCAAGGTTAATTTGTTGATTTGGGCGAGCTGAGCAGAAAGAATGATCTTTCTGCCAGGTTGCTCTGAAATCTGGATTCTGAGAATGCCAGTTTCCTTAAAATTCTACGACGGTGCGGTCTTTTTCTTATCCGGGTCCGCTAAATATCTAGACCGGCCAACAGTGTCACTGATGACGTCACGCGATGATGTCATGGGATGACGTCACGCGATGATGTCACGGGATGACGTCAGCAAAAAACGTCACACGATGACGTCGAAAAATGACGTCACTGATTCGCGTTTGATTCAATGGATTCAATCGAGTCAAATGAGTCAATTTGACTCAATGGACTCAACAGGTGTCAGCGAGTTTCTTCGATCGAAAACGAAAGAAAGAAAGGAAAAGAGCGACAATGGCCCTTTTATGCCGTTCAATCGGTAACACCTCTAGCTTTTTGTTGTTATTCGAGTAGGAGGCCTTACTGTACTCACTCCTGCAGTCGCAGTGGTACCCTTGGCTTGCCTGTAGTCGGTTGGGAAGACGTCGAACCGTTGCCGGCTATCGATGTCGTTCGAATCCACGGTGACTGCTCGAATCGCTCGTTCGAAGCTTCTAGAGCTCCGATTCAGCTTGTTCCTTCGCTCCTCAAGAGCACCTGAAGGTCTGTAATGTATCTGTAGTAACTGTCTAGACAGCCTTTTCTTTTTAGATGTTGATTAAACACTAGAGAGACTGTTTGGCCATGGTGAGCTATTTTAAAGTCAGTCTAAAAAGAAAAGTGAGGAATCGCTTTGGTGGTCCAGTCAATTTCGAATTTCAGTCCCGGATACTCATGACTCAACAGTAAGAAAGCTTGGGAAGCTTCGAGGTTGGAGTCTTCCTTGGCTGGTAAGCACTCATGCCTTCGTCAAGAACAATGATAACACTGCCAGCCACCAATTGCTTCCGCGACTCATTGAAGTCCTTAACCAAGCTTGTCAGTGGATGCCACTGGTCCGTCACATCAGCATCATCGCTATAGAATGCCCGGAAGAGTCTTTCTTTGATCTTCTTGAATCGGTCCCATGATATGTATTTCTTGAAATTACCCTTGCCATCAAACTTCGACTTGTCCACAAGAAACTCAAACGGAGTCGTCACTCTTCTCGGGTGCTTGGAATCCCTGAAGAGAGGCTCTCCACCGGTGTGGTTAGGGCAAGCTGCAAAGATAATGCCCCACGTTGTCCACCATTCATTCTCGGACACCAATGATATCTTTCGTTTGGGATTGACTCTGTTGTGAGCAGCGATTGCCCCGTTCAGATTATAAAGATGCTTCCTCCAGTTGCCAGGCCACAAGTGCATCAATAACCGCAACCATTGAAACGAATACTCCTCATCGATAGCCACATCCAACTTGTCGATATAAAAGGACATGAACTGGAAATCAACAACTCCATTGACATGAAAAGGAATGACGGAAGAAGTGCATTCAGGATGAGAGTCTTCCACAATCTCCCACGTCATTTTTCTCATGTCTCGGTGAAGCTTCAATGCAGTTGATGGGATTTTTAGCGCTGGCTCCGCCTCACCATCGAAATGGACAATCCACGATGGAGGATCATTCTCTTCGCGATCACTGGCAATAAGCCCGCCGGATCGCTGTTTGACCATGGCGTTCTTGTACTCTCTCAGCAATGTCGATCCCCTGCGGCATGGGAGCTTTCCGTACCACCGTCCATTTCTCACGGAGCAATCGGGCCTTCTCTTCTTCGTACTCTCGCGACTTCTTCGCATGCTTGTTTTCATCCTCCATGCCTTCGACAATCAACAAATCATTGGGATTAAGGACTGATTGGCCCTCCTCGTCGACCATCTCAACATCAATGTGCCGTGCTGGGATGTCTTCGTTCATGTCTTGATCAGTGGCTGGTGGAAAAATCTTGTGGACTGGCGTCGTCACTGTCACTCGTTTCAATTTGACTGGGAACAGAGGAAGAGTGATTGCAAGAGTGATGTGAACCTGTGTTTGCAGCAGGAAAAGAGTGGTTGGATGATTGTACTGAGCAATCTGAATCTGAGTTTGCAACAGGAAAAGAGCGGATGGATGATTGTACGGAGACATAGTTGGATGATTTGATGGATGCTTCGGTCGATTCTTCATCGGCTTGTCTTCTTTCAATCAGTTTGGCACGTCTACGATCACGTCGACGATGACGTCGATGATTCACTCCTGCCATGATGCCCTCCTCCCCACTGCTGGAACTGTCGGACTCATTGCTGGGCACTTCCTTGGACTCTGCTATAACCACAACAGCAAGCGGTGGTTGTTTGCGCTGAGGACTTGCCATTGGAGTGGGCGGCTTTGCTGCTGGACTTGTGGGAGGCTCAGTCACCGGAGGCTCGGATGCTGGTGGTTCAAGTTGTTCCGTCGGTGCTGGTGGTTCATTCAGAGGGTCAGTTGATTTCGGTGCTGGCTGTTTCTTTCGGCAACGACTGCTTGTTTCTGGATCCTCTGGCTGGGCGTCTGGAAAAGCTTCCCCTTCCTTGAGGTCGAAGCTGTTGTGATTTCGAAGCCCAAAGGGCATTGCTTTCATTTCCTTGCTCATCGATGGGGTGAACCGCATGCCTCTTTGATGACCGCAGGAATGTTGCCTACCTTGATGATCACTTTGACGCCCTTGCCGAAGCGTCGATTTCCCATCGTCTCAGAACAAAATTGCGAAAATCGAAAGTATGTGATGGATTGATCGACACAAGAGGCACCTCCTCTGCTGCTGGCACGCATGGGTCCGTTGACACACCATCTTCTTGCCTGTCAAAACCTCGAAAATATTTCTTCATTCGCCATACGCCATTGTGTAGCCATGTGCTTGCCACATTCCAAGGTGCACCACTCGGAAACCAATATACTTTCCTTTGTGCTGAATAAAGTTGATATGAACGCTGAATTAATTATCGAATTTACTTTCAGTGATGCATGGATGGCTTGGCGGCAAAACTGTGTAATCAAGATCCGTATGATATCATACTACTATATACAAAATGAATACGAGTATAAGCGGGGTCGCGGCAGATTGATTCATTTTATATTCTTACATTCGCATTATTCCTTTCCTATTATTAATCAATTTCGGCACTATAACGACCCTATGGGGAGCCACTGAGGAGCGTGGACTTTATTTAAATTAAAAATATTTTATTGAAAACCAACGGTTAAAGATAAAGAAAGAAGAAGAGCTGGAAACCTGCATAAAGTAATAAAACCACTAGCTAGCTCAGTACCAGTACTAGCTAGTGAGATAGAGTACTATTTCAGGTTCGCAAAGCACAATCGTAGTAATTGACTATAGATTCCTACAGTGGTTTGAATAAACAGTATTTTAAAAATTCATTTTCATAGGCTATGCGAATCGTGATTTGGTAGATTCTTACAGTACTTTGTACAGTAAACGCGTCTATGCAGGCTAGTAAGAATAAGACATTTTGTATCCTGCATAGGCCTATATAAATTTGTAAGAAAGACATCATTTCGAGAATTCGTGATTGCGCTTCCAGGTAGATTCGTACAGCATAAATTATAGTAAAAGATATTACGGGTGCAAAAATGGTATTTATGCAGGATTCGAACTAGCGACCTTATATCTTTCGGGTACTGGTAAAATCGTTTCCTGCACAGGCTTATGTAAAAGTGATCATTGAAACATGCATCGAATTGCCAAACGGAACACGAATCCTGCACAGGTGTATATTTGTATAGTAAAAGAGTATCAAAAGCGTGACTGCACATTTTGGTAGATTTGTACAATAAAATATATAGTAAAATATACTAAGGGGTGCAATAATGTACTTATGCAGAATTCGAATTTTCTAGCTTATGTCTTTATTTTACGTAGTAAGAATAAGATATTCTCTTTCCTGTATAGGTGTTAGTAAAGCTCTCAAAGATATAAGCCTTAATTTCGAATTATGCATTGAATAAATGCGTATAGTAATAGTGTACTTTTCAATAGTTCTGGACACATGCCATACTCTCTGGGGGCTTAATAAAAAGAAGGAATTATGTAATATATTTACAATCAATGGTACAAATGTATAGTAAAATAGTAGTATTGTGGTTTGGGTTCATCAAATCTTACTCCCAGCATGTTTGTCTAAGCTGCGCAAGTTTGTGTAGCCTTGGTAAAAAGGCTTAAATAAATGCTTCACAATTAAGTCGGGGAGAGACTGAGCATAAACTTCTCAGTGTCATCAAGATGGAATTCCTTCCGATTGTTACGATGATATACTTACCCGTCTTGTAAAGCTGCTGCTGCTGCTTACTCGTCGAAGTCAAAGGCAGCGAACATTTCAGCGCCGCTCTTCTCGGGCTTTTCTTCGCAATCCAAGCAGAGCGAATCAATATCGAGGTAGGCAGTCTCTTGAATCAAGTCCTGGTCGTAAGCCTCAACCTTCACTCTGTTTGAAAGGAGAGGGTGATCCTATGCTGGTGTCGGCTGGAGACGCGAAGGGCATGGGGGTGTTTTCGCTCTTGTTACTCGCATAGCCTTCATTCTGACCTTCCTTCTTGTGGACAGACGGCACGACAAGCAAACTTGAGCTGAACGGGAGGGCCTTCCTCCATGGTGAAAATGATGGCATCATCCTCTTCGATCTTGATGGACTTGGCTCCAGCAAGGAACATGGCGATTTTGATGGATTTCGCGTCGGACATGATGGTAGATGGTAAACTTTTTTGGACAAGCTTCGATTTGTGTGATGCCCTCTTGCTCATCGGTGTTTCCTTCTTCACACCAAAACTTTAACAGTCCAAGCGCTCGGAGCTAAATTTCTTCGCACATGAAGAAACATTCTTTTGGCGGGCCGAAGCACACGCTCTCTTTGGCAGGCAAACTGATTCAAAGGATACTAATTCAACTGCATTTGCATCCGCCAGCACAACTCCACCACGGTCAGACAGCTCTCATTTTTCACGATGGCCGAGTTCTGGACAGTAGCGGAAGTGCGTCATCCTACCAACGCAGCGAAGGTTCCAAGGCCCATCTGCGCCAAGCCGGATAGCGAGCGTTCTGCTCGACAAGCTCACGCCATGGCAACTGTTCGCTGGGAGATGTATATTGGCTCCAAGTATTATTCCAAGGGACGAATCACTTTGCAGGAGCGTTACGATAAGAAGAAGTGCATTCCTTGCTTTCGTTTTCTGCTCTTCTTAGATGGGCTTAGAGTCAGCGATGCTGTTTACTTTGAGAGCATTTGGATTCCCGTTACGTACAAGTAGACGTCGGACACAAAGGATGAAGCTTTGGGTGTTATTGAGTTGCATCCAACAACCTGCTTCCAAGGTCTTTCCGTTTGCCACCACTGTATTTTGGCGAAAAGTCAGACTTTGTTGGAAACTTTTTTGGTTGGCACTTGCAGACAACACAATTGAATCAATGCGATGGCCATGATGTGAATGGCGATAGCTCAACAACAAGTAAACCAATAGTCAATGCGATTGTATCAGGAGTTAGGTCTACGTGTCAACTTTCATTTTCCTCCTGGCGGCCATTGAAATGGTTGCCTGTAGCCAAAGTTACAGCCGTCGCCGTAACAAGCCTCATCGTCCACAACTGTGGACTGCTGTCACCACAACACTGCGAGGCACTACACGTGTAGCTACTAGAGCTGTTTGGTTCCATCTATTTTATTGTTTCCATGCAACATGCCAACTTGCTTCTTTTGGACCTACATGTACTTCTCATGACCTAGAGCGTTCCGCAATCGTGCATCAGGGTAGGATTTAACGGTTGGATTTAGGGCAGAGTTTTCAAACTCTGCCCTAATAAGTTTCAATAGGGTTGAGTTGAGTTTACCTTGCAGTCCCGTTCCGTCTAAGGCAGAGTTTCAAACTCTACAAATTCTAAAGGTCAGAGTTTTAGTTCCCTATAATTTTAAAACGTAGAGCTTCAAACTCTACCCTAGCTTGTACCTGGTAGGCGAATCGTACCCTAAATCACGATTGAGGCATGCTTCAGCAAGGTCCCGAACGGGACTTTGGCTTCTGAGCATAAGCCAGCTCCGGGCTGTTAATAAGAATGATGCTTTCGTCACATCTTATCACGAGGAACAATGGCTGCTCTGACTCTCTAGAGGGCAAGTTGCTACGCCGTATATCTCAATACATACATGCACTAGCTCATCTACTGTGGTCAATTCTAAAGCAGGATGGTAAGAAAAGTGGTTTCGCCGAAGTCAAGCCGAGATCGGAGTTCCTGCAAAAACCGGTTTGGCAGTATCCATGGTGGTAATTGATCCTTCGATTCGATTGGATTCTTTGTCGCCGATGGATGGCCATGGCTCCATCAAAAACGAAGCCTGCTTCCTGGTGCAATGACGCCGCTGGCTGGGCGTGAAAAAGAAGAAGCAGCTTGTATGTGTGAGGATATGGCTCGCTCTAGCTATGATACTACTGGTACCGTAGGCATGTAGCAGCGCGAGACAAGCAGCCGACAGACGTACTGCACATGGATCGTCCAAGCTCTTCGATTCATTTGATTGAGTTCAGGCCTCAGAGAGGTCGCCATTCCCGCACACTGCTTCGTCGAATGAGGCTCTCTTAGCTAGCTCGAACGGTTAACGGTGCCAGGTACCCACGGTACCGGTACCCTTCAACACTAAGTCTTGTACGGTGGTACATGTATGATGTCACGCATCCTCCGTCGCTTTTAGTTCCTCCCGTTATGGGATTAGGATTCCCGAAGCACTGCCGCCAAATTGAAAGGATGCATTCTGCGGAGACCGTGGTGTCAACTGAAAACAGCCGCTTGCAAGGTAGTTCAGGTAACTAAAAGGTTAAAGCTACTATTATAATTTAATTTTAGCATTTGAATTGAAGAACAGGTTACCGCACCTACCGTTTCTTCAATCTGTCTTAGTGGGCCTTCCACCGTCAGTTGCTTGCATTGCTGCAACCAACGTGTTTCTTTGGACTGTCTTCCTCGAAAATCGTCTTGGATCGTCCGTTTTGAATTCTAAACGTCCCTTAGAGGCTTTTCAGTGCAACCCAGCAAGTCCCAAAGGGGCGAACCAGCAACTTCCAAGAAATGACCAGAAAAATCAAAATAGATGTGTAAAATTTAATTTACAGAAGATTTTTTATTCTCCTTGAATTATATTTTGAATATTTGTCAAATTAAAGCAGCAAATTAAAATTGTAGATATAATGTTTTAATATTGGATAACACTAAATTGGCTTAATTGTGATTTTTATGGTATTTAATTATTTAGAAAAAGCTTGAAATCGGTCCATTTCAAACAAGAGGCTTGTCCGTAAGTAGTCCGGGTTGGTTTGTAGGCGTCCATCGAATCTACCCCCGTCCACAGATTCCAATATCTTTTTCAAACTTGTCTTTTCTAGGGCCAAATTTATCGCAATCAAGAAGAGGCTTCTGAAATCATGTCGTTGAAGGTGCTCTTACGCCCATAAGGGAATCAATACCCTTCTTTTCCCAACACAACTTCCCATCCAAATATGAGCCTTCCCATTCTCGCGTGGGTATTTTTTATTATGAAACGCTTTCGAGATGCAGGAGTGGGGCAAGTCATTTATGGTTTTCCGATTTTGACATTTTCGATAACACTGAGTTGGACAGCATCATCCAATAACATCAGCTTAACATCAGACTTTCCAACCCGAGGCACACAACCGAAGTAAAGCAGCAGCACACAACCACGAGAAAAAGCATACCACAACTAAATCCATTCCTCACAATTTTTCTTATCGAACTGAAATACAGCACCAAAACAAGGCACAACAACACACACATCATCCGCTCTCACACTCACCCTCATCCACCGCACCTCAATTCACACTTCATCTCATTTCACCCCCTCTCCGCACCCTTTCGCCTGTCCTTTTATCAATTCCTCTCAACTCTACCGAAAATCCAGACTTCCGTCACGACCCACCATCCACCCATTTCTATTTTCCCCTTACTTTTATCTTTCCAAACCATTAAAATGGCCGAAGTACAACAACCGTCGAATGCGCAAGAAACGAACGATGTGGTTCCTCTGATCGACGACGAAGCCTACTTGATGAGCATGGTGGAAGCCGACGCCTTGTTGCCTTCCAACATGACCTTTTCGGGACTCTTCGACGGCGCGCTCAACGCAGACGAATTGACTGGTAAGTACGCAACAGCAGCCGTTCGAATCGTCATGGTGGCCTTTCCAGAACGCTACCGGTAGCTAGAGCTACCAAAGAAGGCAATCCAAAAGATCTGGCTTCTCTTCAACCCCATCATGGCTGACACCTCTCATTGGTTGCTCTTTGTTGAACTCGCGCGAAACGCGCGTACTACTTTTTCTATACTGAATGATCGCGTCTGCTCTCTGATGGAAATACGTTAAACTGAAACAGACATTGCCTCTCTGTTGGCTCCTTCGCCTCCGAATCATGTCTCGGACGATGAAACGGGGTCCTCGGTGGCCTCGTCGGAGGCCAGCACACCCGTGAGCGCTGCTCCTGTCCTAGTGACACCGGACCCCAGCAAGGCACCGGCTCCCCTTTTGCCCGAGCTCGAAGCAAAAAGCAAGCCATCTTTGGTTTCCGCCGCCGCCGCGAATCACAAGCGTCGATCTTTGTCCAAAGATCCGGCTCCTTCCAAAAAGAAAGCCAAGTTGGCGCCCAAAACCAAGCTCATTTTGGCTAGCAGCGTCAAGGCATCAGTTCCCAAACAGCTCGTTCCCTGCCCGGTCCAGTCATCGGACGTTCCGGGCAAAACCAATGACGACAAGAAAATAGCGGACCCTCTTGCCACGAACGGTGCCGAGAAATTTCCTGCCTTGGCTCCTAAACCTCCTGCTCCTAAACCTCTCAAGACTCCAGCTGCATTGACTCTCAAGGCGGCCATTGCTCCTTGTATCGAGCAGCCTGACGAGGTTGCAAGCGACACCGCTACCAGCCCCAAAACAAGTGATACGTCAGTCACCGATACGTCAGTCACTGAGACCAAGACGACCGGTACCAACAGTTCCAAGCCTCTGACACAAGAGGAACGGGCCCAGCAATGCCGGGATCGCAACCGTCAGCACGCTAGAAATACCCGTCTTCGAAAGAAGGCATACATTGAAGAACTCAAAACCCAGTTGATCGAACTCGTGGACGCACGCGATGCAGAGGCTCTGGAACAGGCCCAAAAGACCAAGATTGTCGAGCAGCAGCGAGAAGTCCGCTTCCAAGTCATGCAAGACTTTTTGCAGATTCGGGGACGCAACGAAGCCAACCCCACTCGTTGGGGAGCCATTTTGGAAGATGGCTTTACGTTGACGCTTCCCAAAACCCCATTTCAAACCATGGTGGCCACTACGACGACGACCACCGACAAGAACAACGACAACGCCGATCATCAGGAGCAGCTCCTCAGTGGAGTTGCGGAAATCATGACGGATTCCACCTACTTTTCATCATTTTTACAGTCGCTGGGGAATGCGACGCACACTCACACCACCACCACCGGTGGGGATGACGCCAACATCCCTCCCATCACCTTTGTATACCGCTGTAACCGAAGCAATTTTCTCATGGATGGTTGCAATGCTATCATCTCATGGACTGCCACCTCTGCTGGAGCCGTCCAAAAGGTACGCCATGTTGCTAGCTAGTGCAAACTGTGTCTGATTTGATGTAGAACTTCAGCTCACGTTTTCCGTGATTCTATTTCCTCCTTCCTCGCAGGGTGCTGCTAAAGAATTGGAGTTGTGTGGCTCCATGAGGGCCAAATTTTGTCCTCGCACGAACCGCCTCGAAATGGCCAAGATCCAGTTCGACACGGGAGCCATTCAGAGTCAGCTTTAAGGATTGCAACCTCAATCCGGACATGTACTTCATTTCTGCACACGATGCACTATCAAGGCTTCTGTGAGAGACTCGCTGCCGTCACCTCTCTCATCTTTTTACAGCACCTTTCCATGCTATCTTCACTTTCCACGATGGATACATCTTCTGTCTACGTTTAGTTTGCTTTCATTTCTCCTCGCTCTGTGTCCTCTGAACGAAGATTCGGGGGACCAAATCTACAACAAAAAAAGCCAGAAAAACAACAACTTCTCTTCCTCGCTACGCGTGAAGGTTCGGGAACCAAATCTACAATCAAAAAGCCAGAAAAACAACAACATTCTCTACTATGATCTATGCATGCACATGTCTTTAGCACCACTGCGGCTGTTCGTTTTGCCGTACGATAGTTGATAATGATAGCCTTTGATACCACTGCTATTTAGCTCGCTATCTCTAGACTCGACTCTACTAGTCTAATAGACAGATTACAGGCATCTGCTGGCATCAAAGCCATCTGCTGTTGACTGATCCACTGCCTCACCAGTTCCGCAAAGCCGTTTCCAGTCACCAGGACTTGGAACTGCGTGGGCACAGAGTACGCACTATTATAATACATGTGTTCTTCTGTGGCCTTGTCCTTTAGCAGTTTATTCTTTGACCGTGGCACTTGGCTTCCCTTCGTCGGATTTTGCTTGCTTGCTCTGGGAGCTCTGATCGGCTGATGGGAAGATTCCATCTGGTCGGTTGGTAGCAAGACTGTGTAGAGATCTCTCTGCATCTGCTATTATTGAGTTTCACAATGGTCTGCCTGTTCTCGTCCTTGGAAGTTCCGTGCTTGTCTGAATGAACCGAACTCACTTTGCAATTGGCCACTACTTGCTAGCTAGCTACCGGTAGTAGTACTGTAGTACCTTTCTAACTATCATGGTGACTTGAAGATTTTATTCTGCTGTGGCATTGGGGTTCGCCTTCGAGTTGGTGGCTAGGAGCTTTGGGTTCCCATCGCGCCGGTATCAGCTTCTTGATTGTTTGATCCTTGAAGGTCGTGAAACCAGAAGCAGCATTTGACTGTGAAATTTGCTGTACATGATGCTCACTGATGTTTTCGTGCGTAGGTGAATTCCATTTAAGTCTAGAACAAGTGCGAGATTGACAATTGATGAAATCAGCTTCACGGAAATGATGTCAGGGCATTATTATTTAATAACCATGGGTGAGATAAGACAGCATTTGTCCACCTCATCTCAACGTTCCGTCATTGTTTAGAGAACGAGCGAAGGTGAGTCCCAGAGAAAGCACCTGTGCTATAAAATCGTAGTGTTTGGGGAAGGAATGAACAGGCTTTGCGGGTGCAAAGCAAGCTGCTGCTGGTCTTGATAGCAGGTGGTCGAGCCCAAAACCAGTTGTTTGGCCCGTTTTCGGTGCTGTCTTTCTTTGGGCGGCAGAGTAGAATTGAAACATCACATCAGAAGTTGTGGCGGCACCTTATCATCCGCACAACTTCGTGTCAAGCCTTGCTTTCATCGAACCAGCAGTTTATATCCAAAACTTGAGAGAGAGCATTCAGGCGGAACTGACACAAACGAACTCCAGAGTTCTGTCCACAATCCTTTAAAAGGCACCATTGCATTCCATTATCAACCCCCAACAGAGAGAAACACCATGACGACTGTTTATCAAACCGAAGATCTGAATGTGTTTGGGCACGACAAACGAGGTGGCGACAGCGACGGTGGCACCTCCCCTACTCCCGCCTCTATCGTGTCGCTCGCAAGCGAGATGTTCGGCAACGCTCCTGGTTTGGTAACTGACCCAGAGCAATACGTTCCCATGTCCATGTCAGATCTCTTCGAAGGAGCCTTGGGCGACGATGGTAAGTCATGTTGCTTTCTCAATGTTCTGAGGTGTTCGTGAACTCTCTTGCGAGTGGCCCCCTTCCCATGTTGGGTTCTTGGCATGGGTACATGAGGAGCAAAAGGTTGTTGTGCTTGATTTCAGCTGCCATCACCAGACACTCAAGCTCCTTTTGTTCTCGCTTTCTTGCTGCAGAGATCCCTTCCTTGCTGAACTTTACGCCGTCCTCGACCCCTGACGAGGGGGATTCAGAAGAGGCTTTGCAGCTTATCAGCGACGCGCCCATTCCCCAAGAGCGAACGCAGGTTTCCCCTGTCGAGATCACACCCGCAACTGCTCCCAGGACAAATTTCGTTCCAATATCCCCGGCCCCAGCTTTGCCTGAGCTGGCCCCAGCTCCTGCGAAACAGAGTGTAAAGCGGGTATCGGTGTCTCTCCCCGCCACCAACGTCCCCCTGCAGAAGAAAATCAAGATTGCGGCCAAAGTCTGTTCCAGCGGTACCGCGGCGTATCGTCCTACCACGGCACAAGTGCTTCAGACGATTCAACCCATGACAGCGTTGCCGTCAAGTGCAGCCGTAAACGGCACCCGCCCCGCCCCCAATGGTGTCAACACCAGTACAGCCCACGTTCGAGCCCTCACAGGTACCAACGGGGCGGCAGTTTGTTTGGACGCCATTGAAAAAGCCCTCCAAGAGAGTGGAACCATGATCAAGCCAGACTGCGCCTCTTCCAATTCGAGTGCCGATGGAAAAGACATGAGTACGGAGGAAAAGGCCCGTCAAAGTCGCGACCGAAACCGTCAGCATGCCAGAAACACTCGCGTCCGCAAAAAGGCATACGTCGAAGAGCTCAAGAGAACCTTGAACCAGTTGGTCGATGAGCGAGACGGTATCCTGCACCAACGACGCTTGGAACAGCAAGGTCTGATGGAGCAGAAGAACGTTCGTTTTCGTGTCATTGAAGACTTTTTGAATTTGCGTGGGCGCAACGAACCAGACCCCAATCGCTGGGGTCTCATTCTAGAAGAAGGATTCTGCTTTCGTCTTCCTCGAGCGGATATTCCTGGTGTATCATGCTCCTCGGGAGGTGGCAGCGAGGCTCAATCTTGCCATCCCTATCCCTTGGGAACCAGCAAAAAGATCCTTACAGGTGTGAAACCTGTCATGGAGGATGCAAGCATGGTTACAAGCCTGCTCCAATCGTTGGGAGCGTCCCTTCTGTCAGTGTCCTACCAATGCCATCGTGATTCCTTCATGATGGAAAACACGTGTGCTGTGTTGACCTGGACAGCCACCTCGTCTGGGGCAGTCACTAAGGTAAGATACCATTGGCAACTGCTATTGGTTGTGCATGTGCGTCAACGTTGATGAAATCTCACCAACCTTCTGTTTCTTCTTTTCCTGTCTAGGGAGCGGCCTCCGAGTTCACGATCGATGGAAATATCCGAGCTGAATTCAACCCCATTTCCAACAAACTAGTCTCCATGGAGTTCAGTTTTTAAGTCTTTCACCCGCGTCAATCTCACCACAACTGAAGACATTCTGAAGAACATCATGAAACTATCAAGCGTCAGCAACCACGTCCCTTCGTTTCATCATCATCCTGAAGACCAGCCACACGCCAAAAGCGCCCCATCAACAGTGTAAATATCACTCCGACCCATTTCCGTGTCACACACACACACAAGTCAAAACACCCGAGCCTCGCTTCAATCATAGTTAATTTGTTCACCCTTGACTTCCCACAGACCGACCGACCTGTACATTTTCATCCGGCAATCAAGCTGTACAAATCTCACATCGGAATCCTCACCTGAAAAAGAAGATCTCCTTCACTGTCCATACACCCACACACATGCACTTCCCTTACTGTCCCCGTACATGTTTCGTATATGCTTTCATCCTCTTCCACATCACCTGAGCTTTGTTACCATCAAGAACAATTCAGCCACAAAGCTCAGGATACAGCTTAGCCAAGACAAAACCTCCTAGCTAGAGAATCCAATCATCCATGATTTTTTACTTTGCCTCTGAAGCACTTTCACGTCGAGTGACAACCATCCCAGCCATGCCATTTCCTAATTATTAGTAGTGATTATTCGTCAACTATCATTGAAGGAGCCTCTGCCACCGGTAGCATAGTGTACCTTGTAGGCGGATATTGTCTGTCCGATATACTGTCACAACACCATGACATCTGGCGGATATACTGTCACAACACCATGACATCTGGCGGGCACGGTAAAGGAATGAAGAGTCGCGCCATGTCTAGCTTGGCCATTAGCATGGCTTCGGCAATGACAAGGCGAGTGGTTGGTAGAGGTCCGCGTTGTTTTTGGAGGTGTCTATGACATCTTTTTGATTGAAGCCAAGAGAGCTGTCAATGCAAATCAACCGGCAGTAGCACCCGAAAAGAAGCCCTCCTTGAGAATATTGAGTGACAGTCTCGAATCGAATCCTCCCCTACTTCATAGAAAGCAACAAGACCAGCAAAGCCCATGTTTTATTCAAAAGCTGATGACGATGATCAATTGTAGATAGTGAAGTTTAACAAAAGTTAAGCTGTCAAGTGTCAGATGCCAAGCGTAGCGGTGGGCCTGAATCTTGATCCTGCATTGAGTCTCAATCCCTATTCTGGCTGGTCTATTATAAAGGCCAGGGATAGGCTCATGGTTTGGTCCTTGTATGATTCAAGGCAGTGGTTGCTCAAGGTAAAATCCTGAATGGTGTGAGCGTTGCTTGTTGGATTCATGTTGAGTGAGGTTCCAGGGTTCCATGAATCCATAAGATGGTCTGTTAGTTTTGTTTCCAGTTGTTGGTCCTGGAGTGGATCTAAATGTAGGTCTTGAAGTGGGGTCCAAAAGTTGGTCCTGAAGTGGAGCATGGGCCCAGATACCTGGAGGTGCTTGGATCTTGAATCTGAAAGCTGGCTTTCAAGTTCCTTGAGATTTGAGGATCTTTCAAGCATCCAGCTCTCCTGGCTCAAATGTTACCAAGAGTGGTATCCCAAAATGTCTTCCGACGTCTTCAATTGTTCTTTTCAACGGCTAAATCAAAGATACTTAGTTGGATGTATGGAAAAAGCGTTTCTAGAAGTGGTGTCAATCACGTGTGCGATCTTTTTCCACAGATTCTCATCTTTCATCGACACGTGGAAGAAATCCATTGAAAGTACACCCTTTCAGGAACAATCCGGCTTGTCGGATTCTTTCCTTAGCTTGCACCCTTCGGCAATGCTGGGGAGAGATGTCAATCGTAGGAACTCGTAGGATTCCACTGCCGCTAGTCTTACGGAGTTAATCCGGTATGGTTCCGGTATCTTCTCTGGTTCAAGGGTGCAGCACCGTTCACACTGAAATGAATGCATCTTGCTGTGAAAGGAGGGACCACAACCTTAATGGCTCTTCGGACCACCTCCAAGTTGCCGGAGAAGGTTTGAGAAGGCCAACGAACTATCTCCTAAAATAATCTAACCCCTGCGTCTGCACCCCTACAAACAAGTTCCTGGTGTTTACAAGAGTGCTGGAAGAACAGCTTGCCCATTCAGGTAGGCGGGGGAACATATTTTTGATTCAAATATTCAGAGTAATAGATGCCTTTAACCTTATATTTACCTCAACTAATCGTCATAGGCTGTCTTTGAACGGGTGCCAATGAAAGTCGAGAATCCGGCCATCAGGGTCTCAGCTTGACAAATCAGAAGAGGTCAAGGGCCATGACAACAACTGTTGGCTCCGATCTCTCCTCCATGACGGCCAAGATCCAATACACTAATGAATAAAGTCAGGAAAACCGTACAAGTTGCCGTACAAGTTGATGCCACACCATCGGAAGACGGATCTTTTGCCATTGAATGCTCCGACAAAACCAACCAGCCGTCCACAGCAACTGAAACCATTGATGCAACTCTGGTGAACGACCAAGCCTCTATGGATATCGCCTTTCTCTCGATGCAGCAACTGCTTAGCGATCCGGCAGCCAAGACAACAGCTGCTTCTTCCACAGGAGCTGCCTTGGAACCTTCTATTGTATCAGGGACTACCGATCTGTTTGAGGGGGACCTTGGTGATGATGGTAAGATACATACTGTAGTTCCTGGTGAAGCTTTGGGATCCAGTCTTGCGCATCGACATGTTGGATCTTCTATAGGGCCTGATCGATTGCTCACCAGTCTCTCTCATCTTCTTCATGATGAACATTGCTCCATAGAACTACCTTCGATTCTTAGTGCCAATGGTGGAGACAATCTGTATGAAAACCTGCAGCTCAACGCCGTGGATCTCGTAGAGGAAGTCCAAGAAGAAGTCCAGCAACAGGCTGATGCAGATCCGGAGGATCCTACTTCTTTGGCGGCTGCCATTGTGGTGGATGGTGCAGGGCTTCCTTCTCCGTCCAAATTGATCTCATCTTCATCCAAAGCCGAGCACCACAACAAGACCCTGGAGCAACAGAAACCTCTAGTTACCACTTCCGCACCACTCACCACCAAACCGAGGCGTCCGGTGGTCCCCTTTGTCAAGGTTCGAAAGCTCAGCGATGCCGAGGCCGTGGCCAAGAAGCGACCGGCCATGGCACCACCAGCTGCTGCTGCGCCATTGATCAAGAAAGCTCGATCCGTGGAAGCTTCCGCCAAAGAAGAAGACCCCAACAAACCTACTCCTCGCATGACAAGATCCCGGATGAGAAAGGCCGGCCAGGAGGCCACAATCGCAACAGGCCTCGCTGCCCGGACTCGAACGAATAGGAAGGAATCACCAGTCAAAGTAATCAGTAGTCCTGTCAAGGTACAACCACCCACAAAGAAGTCTACTGCTCCTACCAGTGCCACTACTACCACCATCCAACACGCGCATAGGAACCCCACCGAGGTTGCGGCATCAGCCGACAAGTCTACCAGCCAAGATCAAGCTTCCAAGGAGTCAAAGGAGCCTCTCCTGCCAATCTCCAATGAGGCATCTCACAGCGACTCGGGCTCCGTGACAGGGAGCGTATCAAGTGCTACCGAAATCGTCAAGGAGGCGACTGAGACAGCCATGGCAGCGGCAGCCAACAGCGCGAGCATATCCATTGTCACACCAGTTGGGAGCGAGGAGGCGGTCAGCGCCAAACAGGTAGTCATGGCAAGCAAGGTCGAGTCGGCCTCCATATCTCTGCCATCCTTACCCAGATCATCTGGTGCTACCACCAAAGTTAAGTTGACCAGCACTCTCGTCCCATGCGATGACTCAGCCGCAGATGCATTACCTGCAGCTGTTGTGAAGGAGGCGTGTAGTACTGGTAGCCAGGCTGCGGCAACTGTCGTGAAGGAGAGGAGTTGCACTACTGGTAGCCAGGCTGCGGCCGACAAGAAGATTCAACCTCGGCGCTCCTCATCCAAAGCCAAGAGTAATGGCAAGTCCTCACCACCACACCTTCCAGAAGTCACCGTGGACACGAGCACAGCTCACATCCAGGCATTGACGGGCGAGAATGGGGCCTCCGTCTGCCTAAGCGCTCGCAAGTGCACTCTTCTAATCCCAAACCAGTCTGACAATGACACACCTGCTCCCGTAAAGCCCACGTCTTCTCCTCCGGTACCACTTACGGAAGAAGAACGTGTGCAGCAGAGCAGGGATCGGAACAGGAAGCATGCCCGCAACACTCGTCTTCGCAAAAAGGCGTATGTGGAAGAGCTCAAGCAGACCTTGAATGAGTTGGTGACCCAACGTGATACGTCCGCGGCTGTTGAAGAACAGAACCGTCGCCGGGAACTGGAGCAGCGGGAGGTTCGCTTCATGGTTATGAAAGAGTTTCTCAAATTGCGAGGAAGCAACGAGACAGATAAAAAACGGTGGAGTGCCATTTTGGTACCCCCATTCTCAATCACCATGCCAAAAACAACGTTTCAGGAGATGGTGAGCACGACGGATAGCACTGGCACTGCATTACAGCAAAAGCTCGTTGGAGTTGATCAGGTCATGCAGGATTCCTGCCATTTTGCAGCCTTCCTGCAATCACTCGACAAGAGCAATATCCCGGGCAATGACGGTGCAGTTAAGGACACTTCTTCGAAGTCTATATCCTTAGTTTACCACTGTGATCGCCAGGACTTTCTGATGGATGGCTGCAAGGCAGTTGTGGGATGGAATGCTACAACCGTGGGAGCAGTTGATAAGGTAGGTTTCCATGGATCAAGTTTAATCGTTCAATTGGTGCAATGCGCGTTCTGACTTTCTTCTTCTTCTCATCCTGAAAGGGAGCAAAAGCAGAGCTATCCTTTCATGGAAACTTTCGTGCTCACTTCTGTCCAGAGTCGAATCGGCTACGCTCGACCGAATTGATCTTCGATACGGGAACAGTAATGAACCAGTTGGATGCTTTGAAGGGATAGAACGAAGCACCCAACCATTATGTGGAATAGCCGTTGCCTCTAGTGGTTATTACTCTGAGGGGCGCCAAGTGGGGACGGAACGAGTAATTTGTGCACTTGGTTGACGACAAGTTAGGTGTGCATACGAAGCGGAGCTTGGCTACTCAGTTCCCTCGCCCAGACCTCCAGCTAATACACGACAACATTGAAAGGAAACAATCAGAAAAATAATACATACACACAGCAACATGCAAAACACGTAAAAACCGAAGAAGTGCTTCGAGTTAGATTCACAGCAGTCTCGGGCTGATGCATCGTGTTTGGCTGAACGTTTTCATATTACTCTACAGTATTCTAATACAGACCATTAAGTTTATTTTTTCTTTAGATGGAACATGTCATGTAGTACTGTAGTCTCTAACATTGGTGCAGGTGTTGCAATGGTCGAGTTGGCTGTTCGATGGGATCTGGATTGCTGTCCACACCTTCGAGTAGATCCCCAGGAATGTCAGATGATTCTGTGTTGCTACATCGTACCTGTACTAGATCGAAGCCAGTCTGGGGTCCTGTGTCAAATCGGCTGTGGTTCGACGGAGGACAAGGGCTGCATGGCGGCCTGCAGAACTGGGTTCTCGGGCTGAAGACCACACGAGGCCGCGACCTTATGGACCTTTTCATTCAAGCCCATGCTCGTCACTACACCTTGGTTTCGCAATGCAGCCTTCAAGGTCGAGAAAGACGAGTCGTTGAGATCCCTAAGGTAATCCATATGGTCCTCACTGTCTTCGCTGTCTTCTGTGTCAAGAAGCGACAAGGAAGACCAGCCGAGGCCCATGGCTCTTGCGAACGAAGGAGTACCCTCTCCGTCAGACGACGTAGATCGCTCATGTGGAGTCTTCCCAATTGTTTTCTTAAGCAGCCTGTTGGTGCCTGATTTTGTCCGTCTTGGGGTGCTATGGATTACCTTCTTTTTGGGAGTTGGCCTTGGAGAAACATGCGCGCCTTGCATCTGGTGAGTTGGTTTGGGAGAGAGCGGCGCACGTGTTTCAGTTCGAGCCTCCGCATCGTACTGGCGGCCCAGGTAGGTCACAGTTGGAGCTGTCGATGATGCTTTTCGTTGGTATCTTTCAGATTGCTTTTCCATGTCTTGTTCTAGACACTGATGAACCTTTGCAGACACCTCCGGCTCCAGGGAGGGATTTCGCACCAAACCCATTAGTCCCATCAGAGAACGCACTGAATCGGATGCCGATAGTACCGGACGAGTGTTCTCAGCATTCTCACAAGCCAGCATTGCGTTCGTGCCTTCTCCCGTGTTGCTTCGACTTCGGGAAACAAAGCTAGAATTACTATCCTCCGTGTTAGCACGACTTCGCGAGGCCAAGCTTGGGAACCAGCCCTGTGGTTCTGCATTCCGAAGGAGATGCTCGATCTTATCGCTTTTCGGAGATTCGAGGGACGACGACTCTTCTGCACCTCCCGCCAATTCGTTGAAGAAGGACCCGCTGTCATTACCATCAAGGTCACCAAGAAGTGAGATTTCGTAGTGGGATTTGCTATCCAGTTTTGGAAGAGAAGCATCGAGTGGGGCTTCACTGCCCTTGCGACGCACACTGAGAGTATGTGCGCATTGGATATTCCTGCCTGTGATATCCTCTTGGCGGAAATCGTGGGGCAATATCGAAAAGGAAGACTCCAATTCTGCAATCCTTGAGAGCTCGTGCCGGTACTCGATTGCTGCCGGACTGGTGTACCTTTCTTGAGCTGAGAGAGCCGTGAAGTCAGATCCTATCAGGTCCAAATAGGCTTGAAAGCGTTCATTGCCGCCATTCTTCATGATTGTCATTTCTTCCCTGGACCATTTGTCACGCGTGATCGACTTTACAACTGAGAAGTTTGCCCCTAACGACCTGGTCAATGGAACGCGGAAACGCACAGGTCAGCACTCGGACAAAGCCTCAAGAATGCGATCCGAAGAGCACCGGGAGCAACCTTACCGATGAACCCCACTACACTGGGAACAAAAGAGGATCCCAAAGCTCACAGAAGCCCATTCCGTGTACTCGGGTAGACCGCAGTCAATACAAACATCGTTGCCGGGGAGTTTCTTGAGTTTGGCGTAGTCTTCTGGGCTCAATATCTCTGTGCCATTGGACGAGTCCGACTCGTCGAGCAATGATTCGATACTGAATGAAGCATCGAGAAGAGATTTCTCGCTCTGGAGTTCGTCGGGGTAACCATAATAAGACAGAGTTGCCATTGCTCACAATCGTTTCAATAGAATCACTTCACCAGGAGGGGCTTGCTATTCGGCAACCGGGCAGCCATCCGAAATGATATGCAGAAACAAAGACGCAGCTCGCTTATGAATGAGACCATTTCTCTCAAGTGGAGATTGGGAAAAGGATGAAGCAAAGAAGAGAACAGTGTGTGACAGCCTTCGTCTTTCGTTCTTCTGTATGTGCTGTCTGCCGTAGATGCAGGTTCCACGGGCAAGTTTGCGCCTTGTCGGGAGCCGTTCTTGTAGCAGCGATTGCTAAACATTTCAGTACTGGATAAGCCTTCGTGATGGCGACCACCATCTTGCTCCCACCAGGCATGATGCACCTATTTGATGCGATGTCACTGAGTGAAAAACAAAGACCCTCAAGAGCACTTCCTCTAGATAGTGTGCTCATACTTGTGATGATTGCCTATATCCTGCCGATGAAAAGAAACTGAAGCCCAGTGAGGGAGGGCATCCACACTCACCATGGCGCTGTGATCTGATAAGGCGAGTTTGCCTGGCTTCTGAACCTGTTTCGCGAAAGGTTGGACTCGACTGTCACCTGTCACACGACTCGACACTCGACACAACTTTAACCCTATGTTTACCTCAACTACTCTGCATTCGTTTTTTTTTCAGCGTTCGTCTCCAGATTCGTTGGCTTATGACAGGTTGCCGTGTTTCTGTAACAGTGACGGCACCGTTACCGGCACCGTAACCGGTACCGTAACGGGTACCGTAACGGGTACCGTAACCGTAACGGGTACCGTAACCGTAACGAGTACCGTAACCGTAACGAGTATTGTATCAGTGTTGGAAGAGAATGTTTATCGGATGAGGCTACAAGGAGGACGACGAATTCGTGAGTTTGTACGTAGCAAGTGGACGACAAGTTTGTGTTGTA